TTTTTTTCGATCCTATCAGCGACATCCATATTGTTAGAATCGGTTACCACCACATAATCGATCTGCAGCCTGGCTTTTCGTCGTACAGCAATCTTCTAATCTTCTATTAAGTATACTAAATTAGGTATATTCTGTATGTGACAACAGAGACCTAAGGTTGATGTAAACAAATATCTATACTACTTTCAGAACAAAAGTTTTAGCAAGAACTATCTAACATCCTAATTTGCCAACTCTGTTTAATATTTTCTGGAATAAAATTACTTTTTAATCATATTTTTCTAAAGATAAAGCTATTGAAATTGTAATTATAAAAATTTGTGTGTTTATAAACACTTTAATGCAATATTTCACCAAATAAGGCGACTGATATCTAAATAAAATATTTCTATATATTTTGGAATTACTCACTATTTTCTTTTATTTTTTATTAATTGATAAATCGTTTTTTATGAGTAAATTGAGTCTGCTCTACAATCCTATTGCATTACTCATTAACATATTTAAGCATATTACGATCTGTTTTCATTTTGATTGTTTGTATGGGGTATATGCCCTCTTTGATAGGTAATTGACTGGTATTAAAATGTTTTTCATGGATTCAAAAATTTATCCAGCTGAACCTGGCATTTACATACATACTCTTATTGTTCTATATATAATGCTAATAAGCATGTGCTCTTTATTTTTAGCAGATATTTATTATTGTACAAATTATTTATAATTCTCTTTGCTAATACTCTACACAAGTTAATGGATGATTAAGTATAATAATTTTAGATTTATAAATAATTGATTTATAAATCTATATTAATTTATTAGTAATTCTAGGCTTTTTTTCTTCAATTTGTATATCTTTCGTTTTTAAGTGCGTTTTGTTATTTTTTCATATTTAATTCATTTAAATTGATTCATTATGTATTTATATTATATATGTAAGTTCAAGCAAAAAAATTTGAGGTGGTTATTCCTTCTAGTAATTCTAATAATCTCTGGTATATCTTAACAATGTTAAACATAATTTTTAATTGCGATTTTCTTCTTCCCGAAGATAGTATGATTATACTGAAGATTGTTCTAGTTGTAACCCATATTGTTTCATTGTGAACGTTGGAACTACAACCGACGTGATGAGTGACAAGTATTATTGGAACATAAACTCGGCCATATATACAAAAGTTGTAATTTAGTTTCTACATTTGATTGAATGTTTATACTTGAAATTGTATTCTAATCGCATTCAAAAATCGTACCAATTACTCCTCCTTGCATTTTAAAAACTAATATATATTGTATTTTGCGTTTCCTTGAATTCAATGAGATTAATAGATATTTAAATATTTTCCAAAGATATTTCAATATATTTAGGACTCGCTGAAAAATAGCAAGCAATTTTTGTGATGACACCATTATTTTTAATATTTAATTTTTCATTCAGATTCTGTAAATATTTATATAGATTACAGAATACAGAACAAGCAATCGATGATTATGACGTTTGCTTGCCTACATTATAACTTCCTTTATACCTAAAAACAAACCCAAAATTTGTACAAATAGTTTATTGTATTTTCAATCGGTGTTTCTAGTGCAGTTAGCTGTCAAATTGACAATTGTTTTTTCAAAAGTGTATGTCATTAAAAATATATATAGAAAAGTATCTACAGCTAAGCTTATTACTTAACTAATGTCGAACTTAATTAGTTAAGTATTTGTTTAATGAAAATTTATTCATTTATATTTTGGATTAATTATAATTCTTAATTTTTTATTTTAATAGTAGAAAGGACCAGACGTAGTGTTAATTGTTTTGGCAAAAATTTAATTTTTTTCAAAAGTTTTTTTATATTTTTATTTAGTTCTTACGTAGTTGCCTGTTACTCCTACAAGTTTGGGGCTCACACGTATTTTGGAGGCGTGGATTCTCATGAAATTTTTGTTTGCTTATAAAAACTTTTCGGCATATGAGATACGCAAAATAAAAATTTGTAAATGATTTGTTGTTGTATGAATTAGCTGTTATAATTCACCTACATTCTTGAAGATTAGTCACGAGTTGGCTTTATATTATATATGTTTATATATACGAATATGTTTGTGAATATGTATATATTAATATATATGAAAATAATGAAAAATTCATTCCATTCTTTATTAAATAAATTGTCTATCTTTAACGCTCAATTTGTTAAATTTTTTACTTTAAACAAATTATTTAATGTTTCTTTCCGACCGATCCGGTTTGGGGTCTATTAATGTGGAAATAAATGAGTATTGTTTCGCATTTAATTTGTAGTATGCCACTCTGTCTCTCGACCGCAAAATATTTTGATCTCTGGACAGTTTGTTTACTTGTTTGTTTCTGTACGTAGATTAGCACATTTTCCAACAGTTTTAGGCTTTTCAGTTCAGCAAATTATCGGAAAAGTAACAGTCGCTTTTGAAGAGCCTTCGCTATAAGTTATTTGAGCTAAAGACAGCCAAAAAATATTTTTATTTTTATTCTAAAATTTGTTTAAAATAATTTTTTATATAAAATTTATTTAAATTTTTTTAAATTTCGCAATTATGTCGGTGTGGATGACTTATGTGAACCGCCGTCGTCCGCATGCAACCGGGCGTGCGCTATATGGCATGGAGTATTTTTATATAGTGAGTGCGTTTGCCAAGTTCAAAAGTTGTTATAATTTTGTTTTTAAGTGAAATGAATGCCATCTTGTTGAGGGACCTTTGAAGTTGGTTTCAATTTCAGCAAAACGTAATTCAAAGATTGTTGTATTTTTATCTAAAAATTATGTTATTTTAAAAATATAATTTGTTTAATTCTTTTTAAGAATTCTAGGTTCTATGACGCTTTTTGAAAATTAAAAAAAAAATTTATACAAAATATTAAATTTTATTTTTGCACTTATATGATGTTTAATAATTATTTATAATGTGCAAAAAAATTTATATTATATTTTCATATTAAAATAATTAATACTATCTAAACAAGTTAGTGAGTTTGTGTGAGATTACAAAATGTCATCTTTGTCTGGAAGATGAGACTTTTATTTTATTATTGTGACTGTCCGGTTTTGATTTGAACCAGAAAATTAATATTAGATCGAAAGTTCACATCGCAACTAGTGGAACATTGGAGAACATTTGAGAAACGTAATTCACCTTATTTTGCCTTACCTTTCTGAGAAAGTTTATTAAGTTCAATCAAGAAGACATTCTGGTCCTGATAATCATAGGACTGATTATCTGCTTGTTTAGGATCACATCTGTTATGGTAAAAATGTATTTATATTGGGATGGACAAATGACATTTGACATTAGAAAATATAAGTGACTCCGGTGAAAAGACAAAGGAAAATGGAAAGACCGCTCCTGAAATCCTGTTATGGTCATAGTGCTTCGCTGTACTATGCAATTCTATTACAGTCTATTAAATGTTTATTGTTAAAATATCTCAAAGAACATTTGATCCAAAAAACTAAAATATACTGTAAACATTTTAAGAGACTTTAGTGGAACGTTCTGATTTAACTTTTTTTTAAATATTTTGGAAGTTACAAGTACTTTCTTTAGTTTGAGGATATCTTACTTTTGTATCAGTAATTGCTATATCTAATATCTAAATTTTTTTTTTTCAATATTAAAAAAAATATTTATTACAGCTTTAATCGTATTTATTTTTCTTTTTGTATTATTTATTCAAATTATTCAATTACTGTTGTTTAGATGGAAACCATATTCTATCTATTTAATTATTTTTCTGTCATATTACATTATTATTCGATGTTGTAATGTTCAATATAATGTATACCACTTAAGCAAAGATTTGCAAAAAACTAGAAAATGTGATATTTGATAATAGTGTAGGCCCTTTATATCTTCCCTGAATATAGAAATCAGTGAATCTTAAAAATCGCTGGATTTAGATCAGCTTAGGTTAATTTGACAATCGATGTACAGTCTGCCAGTCGGTCTTGTACACCCTATAGTTTCATTGTGATCCTATTATCAGATTTTAATGTCTTTTAATGTCATAAATTTGGAAACGAACACATAGTACAATGGTAGGTAGGTAGATTGGAGTGATGACCTTGTATGCAAGAAAACCCATTTGAGCTCAAATAATGGCCCATTATGGCACCATAGGAATAGCGTTGATTCGTACATAGACTAAAAGGTCATAACACGACCAACTTCGAAAAAGGTAATGACTCCCCCATTAGGTAAAAGTGAACCAACTTGACAGTTCTATGATGACAGCTCGGTCAGATTGGTAAAAGAAGGGGCACATGGTACAATAAAATATATTTCAGTAATACCGTTTAATAAACTTCTCAAATATAAATATTTAAATTCCTAAAAATATAGATTAAGTTTTGAAAATCGTTGATTAGTTGATACAAGAATCCTGAAAATCTAAATATTCAAAGAGTGTTCTAATTCATTTTTTCATATATATGTAATCGGTGTGTACTAAAATAAATTCTAGCGAAGATTGATGCCTTATATTCACTCTTCTGATTTCCAGGGATATTTAAACAAAAAATTTACATTCTCACAAGTTGTAGCGCTTGATATATTGTAATTTAGACTATAACAGCGTATAATATTTGAAGCAGTAAGATTTACAATATTTTTAATAGCTACATGTTACGCTTTCCACGCAACTCATTCCATTGTTTATTGCATATAATTTATAAAAATAAATGTTTAAAACAGTTTACAACAATTTTAGGTTGTTATAATAATTTGTATATAATTTATGAGTAGTTCTCATATATTTCTTGGATTTTAGCCAATTACTTTTGTTTTTGTTTTTACTGGGGCACACAAACCACTTAGAACGCAAATAGAACCAATAGCGATTAACTGCTAATCATCCAGAGAAATTATCACTTAAAAATTAAAATTTTGTGTTTGTTTACTTAAGATTTGTAATTATTTTTCACATTAATTTGAAAATCGATTTTTAATTATTGAAAATAATTTATTTACAGCAACGTCGCTCACAACCAGAATTCGGAACGCAACACAAACAACAAATTTCACGGCCACTCTCAGAGGCGAATTCGGAGTTAAGCTGTGATTTACTTTCGGACAATAATAATTGCAAATCCAGTATCGAGCTATCAACAAATACCTCTGGCATCGGCAGTGCAGATAATCGTTACTCCGATGAGCAAGTTACCAACGGAGATGATGTATTAGACAAACGTGGTAGTGTCAACTCGAATGAAACTGCAGGAAGTGGTGGTGGCAGTAGCGGTAGTCATAGTGATCGGAAACGCGCACTTCCTAAACATCAACGTCCATTGACACGATATTTACCAATTTTCTCACCGGATTTAAATTTACGCCATCATATCGAATCAGCTGGACACCAGATTGCGCTCTGCCCTCATGTATTTGTAGATGCGCACAGCTGTAGGGGGTAAGACTTAAATATAATACAAAGTAAATATAATAATAAAATTTCTGTATTTTTATAGATATTTACATAAGTTGGGTGCTACTTTTCATGGTTGGGCGCGACGTTGGTTTGTACTCGACCGTCAACGTAATGCCTTTATTTATTATTCTGATAAGTCAGAACGGAAGCCGAGAGGAGGCGCATACTTTTCGGTAAGGAAGCAAAGAATTATTTTTTATCTTGTCAGTAGTAGTTATTGTTTGCTGTTGTACATTAATTGTTGTAGAAATGTTCTTGAGATAAACTTGTTTTGGAACTGTGAGGACTGTTTTTTTATTATTACTATTTAATTTGTATTGATTTTAAAAGATATAATAAGAAACTATTTTGCATAGATCTCTCTTTTCTTCCCCCTTACCGTGTCTAAGAACTGATTTTCGCAAACTCCCATCGTTTGCTATCAAGTGGGCATACATTTCGCGTTTTTAACCAACGCGATATACAGTGATAATGATAAACATGATTACATTCACCTGTTGCTGTTACACAGTCTGCCTTGTAATAGTTTTGTGAAGCTTGACATTCAATACATACTTCAGAAATTGGATTTCGGCAAATCGCACAAGTATCAGTTGGTACGTCCCACGCCCACGCTGCACAAGGTTTCCACATTTCTACCGTAAACCTATGCCCAACCGTATTTTCGTTTTCTTCTGAATCTAAGTCATTTTTCTTGTCCTTTTCTTTTTTTTGCTGGTTTACTTTATCTTTTTGTTTATTTTCTTCATTTTTTTCTTTTTCTTTGTTACTTTCTTTTTCTGCGTTCTTTTCTTTTCCTGATCTTGAACCAGTCAAAAGTGCCCACCTAAACATGATTTTACGTTGACGGTGCAAATAATTTTATACACCAAAAATTTAATTTCGTATAAACATAATTTATGATCAACATAATTTATGATTCTAGTTTTCGATGTTTTTTTTTTCTTTATTTTCAAATATTAATAAGTTTACTTTGTTTAATAGCACTACACTATAAGTTATTTCTTAAACTATCACGGGTTTATTACACAGTCAAATAGCGAATGGTCCGGTAGTATTACGCTCTTTCTGGTCATGACACAGTCAAATAACGAATGGTCCAGTAGTATTACGCTCTTTCTGGTTTATTGAGACTTTTTGGGTGTGATATATATCCACACAAACAAAAAAAAAACATTTGCTCTTAAATGCCCAAACTCTGATATTTTTTACTGAACAGCATTATTCTGAACAACGCTAGGGGCTGGAAGTTTGAAATAGCAAATATGTATATTTTAGTGTGGATATGTGAGGATATCCCCTCAAAAAATATTACACATTAAATTCTTGCACAAATAAAATTACCAATTTAGTAGTAAAAGTTGATAATTGTAATTTGACTGTCTGCATAACATGACTTTTGACCACGACCAAAAATTGCTGTAACCGATCACACGTCATATGACTGTCTGTACCATATTATACGGTCCTTACACAAGAACGACAACAAGAAAAGATTAATTTTTATGTTTAAATTTATTTAATTTAAAGTTTTTGATTTGTTTTTTTTTTTTAGACAATTGATGAAGTTTATTTGGATCATTTGAACGCATCTAAAAGTGGTCGCCCACACTGCACTTTCATTGTGAAAACAAAAAAACGCAGCTATCATTTACAAGCAGCTTCAGATGCAGCTGCACGAATATGGATTGATGCCATTATAACCGGAGCTCAAGGAAACTTAGATTATTAGCTTTAAATTAAAATATTGTTGTAAGTTATCTTGTAAGAATAGCTAATAATTTGGTAATTAATTTGTAAGTGTATCTAATTATATTTTTAATGAAATCACAGATTTCTATTAATACTGAACCAAAGCAAAATTATATAAAATTGTAAAATGAATGCATTACATATTTAAATTTAATCTTAACAATAGTTAAAGGCAGCTCATAGAAATCGATCATAATTTTAGATCATATATAACAATGTATTATAAATAAAATTGTATATTATCTTTAAGGTTATATATTGTGACGTAAACGGTTTTAATAAGGAGTTTTGAAAGTTTTTATAAGGAGTTCTTCTAAAAGGAGTTTCTTTTACTTAATTACGTATGCATATCTTTATTTACATATATATAAATATATGTATTGTATATCTTTCAATTTTTTTATATCATACTATTCTATATACATAGAATACAATATAGGTATTAGCATATTCACAAATTTAACATAACAATACATAACAAATTTAATATAAGTTTTGCTCAACTATCAGTTAATAAGAAATGATACAAATTCGCTACATATTCCCTAAGACACTAAGAAAATGAAAACGATTGTTACTAGACGCATGTGCCTTTTTAATTTGGTTTGCAATGTGTTTTGAATATATAAGCGAACATTTATAAGTTTATTCTGAAATGGTTATTTTATAATTTCATAATTGAAATTTTTTATCCAAATGAATCATTTTAGAGTATCTTTTTTATTATATTCTTAAAAAAATTAAATTTAATTTACACTTACATATTAATTAATTATAATTTTACATTATGTATTATTAAAATAATTTTTTATTTTAAAAATAAATATATGTTTTTATAAAAAATTAATCTTGACTTGAATTTTTAACATGTAACTTTAAGATGAGTTATAATATTTATTTATGTAGGTTTCAAGCCATTCTTTGAAATTACGTAAATGTTCATCTACGGCACCAATAAAATTACACGATTTAAAATGTGGTGGTGGATGCTGACCAGTGCCATATGCATTAAATATAAAATGCTCACTTATATAAATTGCAGCCACTACATCATTGGATAGGACTTCGTGACGAAACGAAAGCTTAGCAAATGATTCTGAAAATTGTTTTATTGTAACAAATGATTGTTTCGTTAAGCACCCTGAAAACAAATATTTCATATATATACTTTAAATTAATTCAATAAATTATTTTATTATACCTGGACGTTCTATGCGTGAAGCCACAAAATATTCTTGCAGTAATCTTTCAGCTTCTTGTGTAAAGTCTACAGTACGTTTTGATATAATTGCTAGAAAGTGGCGCATATCCTCATTAGATATTGAGAGATCATCTATAGTTGACTCATAAGTATTTATTGACGATTGTTGAAGTATGTAATCAACCAAAACTTCATGGTTGTCTTCGTCAACATAAATTGGTAAACCAAATATTCTTAGAAAAAATTAAACTTATTTTATTTGCAATTTTAAAAAGAAAGTTATTATTTATACTTGATGAATTTGTTAAACATTTGTTGATCACGTGCGTTATTCTTAAAAGCACGCCAATGTGCCCATATTGAAGTTTCTAAAGGATATGCAACTGAAGATTTTTCTATGCTTACACGAGAACACTCAATAAACTTAAAAATTTTATCAGCACGAGCTGCTTTTATACAAGACCAATCACCGGCAAAATAAACTCCACCTTGTGCTAAAAGGATAGGATCAGCTTCAATCCATTTTTGATTACTTGGAAAAGCAGGAGATTTTAACTTATAGGTTGGTCCTAAAAATCGTGCGCCCAACTGGCCAATACTTGTCATTAGGTAATTGATTATAGAAGTGTCATTACCAATAGCAATAATAGGTATCGGAATACGATTGGGAATTGGCTAAAAAATACATACACATTTAGTATATTATATGCATACTTCATTGAATAGATGAAACCTTTTTAGTTTGAGTTTTATTTTAAAATTGTGCTTACCCCAATTGAGGCTAAACTGAGTAGCAATGCCATTTTCAAGTTAACAAAGCAATCCATTGGTATACGATCTTGACACAATTGTGCGCTTAGTGCATAGACAAAAGCAAAATCGGAATATTCCTTTTTGATAATTGTATGCAGTTGTATAATTGATTGTGGACTCAACGTCGCATCAACAGTCGAATTATTAGGCAACAGTATTGACGCAACACTTCCCAACTTCTGTACATTATTTACTTCAATACTGCTATTGAGGTCAATGGATAAATTATTGTCATGTTCAATAGGTGGTATATGTTGTATGGATGTGTGTTCATTCACAGATATATCCATACTCATTTGTTGTATTGTATTTTGTATTGAGTTCGAAGGTCCATGTATACTGGATATAGTACCATTTCTATAACCCAAAGATAATAAATCTAAAGGATTGTTGTGCTCAGTAATTCGATTAACATCAGCGGAATCAAAAGTAGTTTTTTTTGGAATTGGACAAGATGAAGTTATATTTTGCAGCTTTTTGCTAGTGTCTATTTGTGTTTTTGACTAAAAAAAACATATTATTATTGCACTATAACTAACATTATTTTTCGAAAAGTTTCAACAAAAAAAAACCTACCAATGTTGTTATATTTTTTGTTGTGTGTAACTTTTCAAGAGCGCTTAACTCCTCTAAATCTATGTCAAATGGTTCATTAGCAAATTTTTCGAATTCGTTTGTGAATGAATCATCAACTCGCTGATAATTTGTGCCAGCTACTGATGACAGATCCAAATCTTCTTTTGTTGCTTTCTTTGGAAAATGTAATTCATTGTTATAAACATTTTTGTTTGTCGTTTTAGCTTGAATAGGCTGAACATATTTATCAATCGGTGGTGGTGGTGTATCAACTACAATTGTCTCTGATAAATTTTGAGTATCAATAAACAGTGAGCAAGAATCATCGTTTAGTTGTGACAATGGCAAATTAGTATTAACAATCCGTGGTGTGCGTTCCAGATAATCGCTATTGATGAAACTTTCCTCATTTCGCAAATTTAATTGTGATGAAAATTCTTCTCTATTGTTAACAAAAATATCCGAATTATCTATAGGACCATATAGAGAACGGTTGTTGTCTTTCATATATTTATCAGATTCCATGCTTGAAACTCCTGTCCACACTTATTATAGTCGTAATATCCGGTAACTAAATAGCGTCCTCCCAATTTTAGTTTACAGTTATAATTATGTTCTTAAATAATAAAAGATTTTGACAAAATTATAAGGTTTTATGTTTTATTGTTATTACCTTTCACACGAACAAGTACTGCACGAAAAACTTTATCAAGGATTATGGGCGTTTGAACAAAACCGGTAGGTACCAAACGCAGCAGATGATAGTTTTGAATAGAACGTAACTTGCTATACTCGCTCATAGAACGAGAGCAACTGTTGCACTGTGGCGCTGCAAAGGTAAACAAAAACTTAGCTTAACTTAAGACAATTCTATTTCATTTACGCATTTAACACTAACCTTCAGTGGAATTTTTTTTAATTTTATTTCTGAGACAACCTGTTGAACAAAACCAAACCGTTTGTATACTATTGAAAAGAAAACAAAAAATTATAATGAAAAACAATATGTAATATTGCATATTCTATAATTGAGAAAACTTACACACACTTCTCTGGTTCAGTTAAAGCAGTTAATATACCAAGAACTGAACATAAATTGGTAGGATATAAATTTTTTGAAGGATCAAAACATAAGTGCTGTTGATATGGTAAACCTATAAATCGAAGCTGCACATGCACTTGCTCAATATCGATGGATTTAAGTCCAGTTTCGCTGCTTGTTTGCTTAACAAAGTCGCGTATAAGTGAATAAACACAGTATTTGACGGCGTTCATAAATTGTATTGGCTCATCAATTGTCAAATTCAACAGTTCCTTAGGACTATCGAGGAAATCTTTGTATGCAAATGGTAACTGCACTATCACAGCAGCCAGTGTGTCTTCTGGTCTTTTTGTTTGTTGATAATTTTTTGTATATTGACTAGCGGCTGCTTCAATAATTTTTAACAATATACTTTTGCGCAGAAACGATTCTATTAATCTTTGGTTAATAAATCTGTAAAGTTATATACATATATATATTGTTTTTTTTTATATGTACAATTTAACTTAATAGATTAAATTATAAATAAAAGTATCTTACAATTGCGATAGTGTTGTATTATTTATTTGAATATTTGATGTATTGCTTAATGGGGAAGGCGATGCGCTACTTAACATTATAAAAATAATATACAATTAGATGTAATGTCTCCAACTAAAAACATAAGTATCAAAATCAAATTTTATATTTAAAAACAACAATTTGTGGATTGCAAGATACAGAGTTGTAATTTATTTAGAAAGAGAAATTTTTAACATTTTAAGTACAGGGATGTTTTACACATTATTTTATTTATATACATTGTTTGATGCAAACACAGTACGATTATTTTTATTCTATATTTTTAAAACACGGAGACAGTATCCGTCAAGAGTGAGAGTGGGTGATATGGTGATAAACTGGGAGGATAGCGTTAAATATCTCGGCATCACGTTGGACAAA